TTAGATGAATACCGTACGTTGCCCATTTCCAGGCCCTTCTTGATATGATATCGTTTATTCAAAACCTAATTATTTTTTCTCTCTTTATATATTTTGATATCTGTGTGGTACACTTCTCGGCAAAAAGACATAAAAATCTGTGCCATAATTTTGAAAAAAAAGGTACCGGTAATAAAAATATCCATTTTCTTCCTATTAAGGTAGGACCCAATAGATAGGCCAAAATTTTCCTTATATTCAATTATTCTGAAACTTTGCTATTTGGTTCTAAGATACAAAATCTCTCTTTATATATGATATGAAAGAAATTCAACCACACATTTTTTGCCCACATAGTCTGAAATATGGCCTATCAGACCCCTGTAAGAAGATTGTGAAATCAGACATTCGACTTGAGAATTAGCCTTATTTTACAATTATTGATTGATCTATTGCAAATTTGTGTAATAATTTTAAAAAAGATAACCTTTTGATACTTTAAACCAGTAAGTCAAATTGATACTTGAAAATTTGAGTAGATATAAAGTAAAAATTACACAGCATCGGGATATAAAATTCACATGTAAATATCCGAACAACTTTCAGAGGTCAAGAGAAAATGTATAATTAAATTTTTACAAAAAAAATTCAACAGAACAATTCAAATGGGTCCTAGAATAAAATGTGTAAAAATAAAGAAAATTTAATCTGTGGTTTCAGATATTTTGGCGATTAAAAAATTTCAATGGCCAAAAAACTTAAAGATTCAGTAGATGACGTCACAATATTTGACCTTTGACCTCTTGATATGACCTTGACCTTTGTAGTACATAACGAATGGACACTCCCTATATACGTGTCCAAATATCAGCCCTTTGCTATTTATGGAACAAAAGTTACACTGCATTTTATAATAGACTGTTACATGCTTGTTTATTGCACTTAGATGGCATAAATACAGACCAAAATGTAAGCCCCCAAGTGACCAATATATAGGATTCCCCGATTTTTTTTTTTTTTTACAAAATATGACACAAACATGCCAAAACTTGTTATTTTTCCTATATATTCATTGTTGTCAAAATAGTAATATAATTCATATTTTTTTCTCCGGTACTTTTTAAGAAATTGGTTAAAATAGAATCAATGGGTCTTTTGATACCTAGCAGAATATATTTCTAGCATTCACAGGCGATGCAAAGTTCATACTTGATATGTTATGAGGCTGTTATTAGGTTTCGGAGGATCTTTTGGGGATAACCGCTCCCCTAAAACAGATATAGTAATCGTTTGGAGTGCTATGGTATATATTCAAGATTTACGAAAATCAAGTTGATTAATATGGTAAAGTAGACTAAAGTTTTTGAACATTTCAAATTAATATAATTTACCAAACAAACAACAATTTTGATTGCCTTTAAAGCTTCCAATCTAAAGTATATATTTCCACCAAACATCCGTAAAAGTGTCTATCTCTCTTGGTAATGGATCAAAATTTTTGTTATTTATCATGTATCTTCATTTTACTACTTTATTAAATATAAAATAACTAATATATCCTGAAATTTTCAGAAAAAAGAGAAGATAAATTCGGATTAGCCAATTCAGATTAGTTAAATTATTTATGTTCAATTTTTAACATCACGTTATAGACACTATTCGGTAATATCTTTTTATGCAAAATGAAAACATTAACTCTTTTGAAATAGAAATAGGAATCGCATGATTTGCAACATTTTTTTTATTTAATGCCCCCTCCCCCTAAAAAAAGATAATGACCCTTTACTTGACCTTGCTTCTAATATAAAACGGTCAAATTTAATATAACTGATACCATAACTTTGTGAAAGTGTCTTATTGTTTTTTGATTTTGACCTATAAATACAAGAAATATGAGAAGAATCCTACCTCAATGCATTTTGATTCAGAAGGCCACAATGACTTAAATACTTATCATATATCATGTAGAGAGAGAGAGAGAGAGAGAGAGAGAGAGAGAGAGAGAGAGAGAGAGAGAGAGAGAGAGAGAGAGAGTGGGGGGAGGGAGGAAATGTGAAAATGAAATTTAAAGTAATATTTGACGGAAGAAACAGTACCTGGATGAAACAATGCAATATGTCAAAAGATGAAAAAGGAAACATGCGTGTTGGTCGCCTTCATTAAAATGCCGGTCAGATCTTAAGGCACGTGGTGGAACATTAATTTGTTGTCCATATCAAACATGTATTCGAATCACCAATCGCGTCATGAATATAAGCTATTAAAAGAATAATGCTCTTAATTATGATGGTTTTTTGGAAAGCATATATTTTAATGCACAAAACCTTTTGTATCCTCATAATTACATAAGTACTCATAATTACATAAGTAGATTTAATTATCAAGGTGAATGATGATGACACGACCATCAGTGGTTTGAGGAGCCTAGACAAATTTTCCGAATAGGTACTTTCAATATTGGAAATTCAAATCAGCTAAATAAATTCCCTGTAGTAGGAGGAGCTAACATCAATTATAAATAGGGAATATTAAAATTTATGTCTACAATTATCATCAGAACTTATCCAGAATGTTTGGTGGAAGTACCTTCGTATTGGTATGCGTGGCCCTGTTCTTGGTAGCCCCAAGTGAAGGTAGGTCAATAATAATAGGGCTTTTTCTTTTTTTAGTTGTACACATTATTCAAAGATTGTGATATAACTTTATTAACCGGCATAAAGCAACAGGAATTTTTCACCAAGTTCTACCGTTTCAAAGAATAACATTTATTCTAATGCAATTGTTTTGTAAAACACTCTTTGATTGGCTATTGCACTGATGTTTGAAGCAGTAAAACGAGCATTAACGAGCTGAAAGCTTTTTCATTGTGACGTCATAATAGAGCGACGCAAAAATACAATGCTCCGTGACGTATTTCATGTAACAAAATTTAACAAAATAAGACGTAAACAACAAACAAAATGCATGGATTGCATTAGAATGGGAATAACTAAACTTTTAATTTGGTATTTGCGACCGTTAATGCTGATTTAACGGTCGCAAACCTCCGTTTTACCGGCTCCGCTTACGCGTCGCCGGTAAAACTCAGTTTGCGACCGTTAAATCAGCATTAACGGTCGCAAATACCAAATTAGAAGATAGTTATTCCCTAATTCAAGCAAAGAATAGAAAATGTCATGAGCCAACAATCTTCTCTTCACAGATTTTCATTGAGTTTTACCAACTTAAGGCAAAATTTCAATATTTTAAGATATACTCGAAAACTGCAATTGGTATACAAAGAAGTTCAATGATAATTATTAAGTTATCATTTAAAATAAGTCTTAATTTTATTTCAGTTTTACTTAAGGAAAAAAATAACTACTTATTCTAAATACAAAATAGATGAGTTAGCAAGGAACAATGAAGCAAAATAAAAGAAGTGTTGTAAAACTGTAACATAGTTATACCGATGGTTTTTGCTACACGTTTTTGATCATAGTACACAGAGTTTAATTGTGTTAGGTGTTCTGAATTGTTATATATTTTGACTCATTTTTTAAACAATGACCTATCAATGTTAATGATCTATTAATGTCCAACCTTGCTATCTGTTTGTGTCAAATAGAGCACTGCCACATCAAGTATTCATGAATAAATATTTTACACACGCCTGAATCAACAGAGAAATATTGTCAGTTTCTTATGTTTTATAGATTAAAATCTAATTAACATACAATTTACACTATGAAAATTTTCGGCTTATCTTAAAATGCAAGATCTTGATCTTTTGATTTAATTTTCTTTCAAAGGTATGAATAATGATTTTCCAAGGTTAAGTGTATGAATTATCAAGCAAGGGGTAGACAAAAGTCATAAATCAACATCCCTTTCTTCGTTGAGTTTTTACCCATTTTAGACAAATCTTAAGCATACTGTTCAAAAAGAACGCTCATTATACGAATTAGTCCCATGATAAGTAATCATCTGAAATAATACTCAATAATATATTTATAATGATACTGAGTAAAAAAAAAATATTCTTCTTTGTATATACCAACTAGTTTTTTCTACATTTTTTTAGTAAGTTACTTTGTCATCTCTTTCTGCATTTCAATGTTCATCTATATCTGTAAAATATTCTTATAAAGTGGGTAAAAATAAGTACTATTTTGTAATTTTCAATGCGGTACATAGTTTACCGTTAACACAGTTAAGGATTGTTTAATTAAAACCTGGTCTTACTAGTGAAAAAGTTTATTTTTTATCCATTAATTACGGAATAGAATTTTATGAATTCTACTTTTTGTTTTTAATCAAAACGTTTGGGTATCATTTGAAATGCTTTATTTGCATTTAATTGTTCAATTCCGTTTTAGGGTGGTATATAGGCAATGGAGGATGTGCCTGTGCTCAATATGTTGATCCTGTGTGTGGTGTAGATGGAGTGACGTACACCAATGCTGGATGTCTGGGATGCGCGTATGTTACAAAAATTAGCACATTATTTTAACACTTTTAAAACGTTGTATTTCTATATTATTTATTAAAGATCTAATTCACTTTATAGAAAAAAACTTTAATTGTTAGGATCAATTTCCTTACTTTGAAAAATTGGCATAATTCTGGTTTGCACGATCAAAAACGTTTCAACAGAACAAAGTATCGAAAAAAAAGAAAATCTTTTTGAAAACATTTTCATGTTGAAAACAAGTTTGGAAAAGATTTAACATTATTTTGCATATCAACAGCGGGGTCCCCTTGGCTTGTAGGGGATCATGTCCTTGCTACAGACCCTACTGAACATAACGGAGACAACACTTTACAGAAAAGTCAGCAGGGACCTATAGAATGGTGTTTAGGTCTCTTATGCCTGTGAAAGTAAATTTCCTTGTGTAACAAAAAGTAACAAAAAGTAATGTTCTAATTATATTTATAGATACTTGTGTGTGTGTGTTTTCTGCTTTTATATATGGTATCAGTTAAATTAAATTTGACCGTTTTATATTAGAAGCAAGGTTAAGTAAAGGTCATTATTATTTTTTTTTGGGGGGGATGCATTAAAAATTTTTAACTGATACCATCACAGTGGCATTTTGCCAATGCATATAAACATGGATGAATTTAATTATTTGTGTAAGAAGAAATATAGCAATTAACTCAAATTAACTTTTTAAAAAAAAAAATTATTTTTCACAGGCATCTAGTTCATTTCAATGGTTAATTTTCATTTTTAATGTTTATGAAAATGTGTTCAGAATATCTAATAGCGTTGTAAATACGACAAAATAATTTCCTCTTTACATTAACAAAGAAATTAAAGTCTTGAAATGTGTCCAGTTCAGCTGAATACCGTACATTGCCCTTTTCCAGACCCTTCTGATCTGATATAGTGTATTCAAAACCGAATTATTTTTCTCTCATCATATATTTTTGATATCTGTGTGGTACCTTTCTTTCAAAAAAGACATAGAAATCTGTGCTATAATTTTAAAATAAGGTAATAAAAATATAATATTCTTCATATCATGTCCAGAATATTGCACTCATAGGCGAAGCAAAGTTCATACTGGTAATGTAATGAGGCTGTCATTAGATTTCGGAGTATCTTTAAAGGATAGCCCCTTCCCAGATGTGGTAATCGTTTGGAGTGTTCTGGTATATATCCTAAAATTTACGAAAATCAAGTTGATTAATATAGTACAGTAGGCTAAAGTTTTAAAACATTTCAAATTAATATGATTTACCAAACAAACAACAATTATGATTGCTTCCAATCTTATTACGTATATATTTCAGCCAAACATCCCTAAAATGTGATTATCTCTCTTGGTAATGGATCAAAACTATTTGTTTTTGTATCTTGTTTCTTCATACGGCAACTTTATTAAATATAAAAATAACTAATATCTCTTGAAAATTTAAGAAAATAGAGAAAATAAATTCGGATTAGCCAATTCATTTTAGCTAAATTATTTATGTTCAATTTTTAATATCATGCTATAGAGCCTATTTGGTAATGCATGTATCTTTTTATGCAAAATGAAAACATTATCTCTTTTGATATAAAAATAGGAATCGCATGATTTGCAAAAGTTTTTATTAATTTTTAATGCCCCCCCCCCCAAAAAAAAATAATAATGACCTTTACTTAACCTTGCTTCTAATATAAAACGGTCAAATTTAATTTAACTGATACCATCACTTAGTGAAAGTGTCTTATTGATTCTTTGATTTTGTTCTATAAATACAAGAAATATGAGAAGAATCCTACCTTAATGCATTTTGTTTCAGAAGGCCAGGTATATCAAGAACCGGTAACCAAACATATTAAGTTTTTTAGCCTTTGACACCATGACTTTTATACTTGTCATATATAGAGGGAGGAAATGTGAAAATGAATCATAAAAATAAAAAAAGTAATATTTGACAGAAGTAATAGTACTTTTATGAAAGAATGCAATATGTCAAAAGATGAAAAAGGAAACATGCGTGTGGTCGCCTTCATTAAAATATTGGTCGGAGCTACAAGACACGTGGTGGGACATTTATTGGTTGTCCATTTCAAACATATATGAGAATCACCAATCGCTTAATGAATATAAGCTATTAAAGGAAAAATGCTCTTAATTAAGATGTATTTTTGGAATGCATAGTTTAATGCATAAAACCTTTTGTATCCTCATAATTACTTAAGTACTCATAATTACATCAGTAGATTAAATTATCAAGGTGCATGATGATGGCACGACCATCAGTGGTTTGAGGAGCCTTGACAAATTTTCCAAATTAGTACTTTCAATATTGGAAATCCAAGTCAGCAGAATAAAACTCCCTATAGTAGGATGAGCTAACATCAATTATAAATAATTTATTTTTGTTTGTATTCTAGTCTCTCTAGTTGGTTGATTTCCAAAAAGGAACGCAAAGTATTTTTCAATAACCAGGTTTGGTATGGGGACACACCCCCTTGACAACCAGCTGTATCCATGCAATTCCTCTTTTCCAGTCCTCAACATTCATGGAAAATTCCAGATTTAATAAATGTCCCTTTAACTTCAAACAGTAGCTCGATCTTACCTCATGTAAACAATCATGGCTGCTAGATCTGTGTATCAGTTATTACCTCCCCTTGTTTCTCATCACTTCCGTTACTAAGGATGTATTATTGAGCGGCAAATTTGAACTCATAAAAAGCAACACATTTTACGCCCACAGTTGTTTAATTATTTTAAAATTATATATATGGAATGACTCTAATTCTTGGCCAAATTATTCCAGAAGCGGATTATAAAAAAAACGTTAACTGACCCAAACCAGGTTATAATCGAATAATTTGGCCAAGAATTAGAGTCATTCCTAAAATAGAGAATATAAAAATTTATATCTAAAATTATCATCATGCTTATCCAGAATGTTTATTGGAAGTTCTGTGGTATTGGTGTGTGTGGCCCTGTTCTTGGTAGCCTCAAGTGAAGGTAGATTAATTTTAACAGGGCTTTTTTTTAGTTGTACATATTATAAAAAGATTTTGATATAACTTTATTAACCGGCATAAAGCAACAGGAATTTTTTTACCAAGTTCTACCTTTTCAAAGAATAAAATTTATTCAAGCAAAGAACAGACAAATGTCATGAACCAACAACCTTCTCT